CAGAATATGATTAATTTATTTATGTGTTTTATTGTAAGGTTTGAATTAAAGAATGACACACGTTTAAGATTGGAAAGTGATGAATCCATATTCATATATTCAAAATCGGTAATTCACTAATTTGTCTTCTTAAATTGGATTTTGGTAAGTCGAACGATATTTCAATTTCAAACATATTAACAGCATGTTCTTGATGAATATAATATGCATATTATCAGTGTAATATCTCCTACAACTACATACAATAAAGTTAGTAATTAAATTTTGATGATAATTAGGGCAAAAACAAATTCTTCGAGGAACCTAGCCTCACTAATCGTAATCGCAACACCTCAAAGGTAAAATAAGAAGGGGTCCCTTCATTTTAGCAATTATAAATTGTTGGCCTAACTTGTGGGTTAATAGAAATTCGACCCTCGATCAAGAAACAATCATTGTTATGTTTATTATTAAGGTCGTACGTGTCATTATTGTAATGTAGCAACTCAATCCCACCCGTCAAGATATCTTGTTCTTTTAACATGTAGCTGAGAACCATACTGAATTACTTGATACAGTTAAAGATCCCTCGCCTAGGCATTCCTGTATCATTCGACTCACTTGTCCTATTACCTCATCTAAAGCATAATGATTGTAATCAACCAGTCTGTAGACTGGAAAAGATTCAATCCACTCGCTCGAGCCTTCCTCTGTAGACATATGCCTGATTGCAAGTACAAATACATAGCTAATGTGTAGCAGCATTCAAGAAATATGCAGGAGAATCCATTCGTCGTACAAAGTGATCACAAAATTGACTATTTTTTTGTTCGACTAATTAGATTCGTACTTCATTGAATGCTAATCTCTTTTAAAGTGCAACATAGCTAGAGCTTGATAACCATAATAAAAATTGGTTTAAAGAAAAAAAAATCAATTAACGAAATTCATACTTCACTATATGCTAATGACTTTTCAAGTAGAACGTGGCTAGAGCTAGTGCTAGTGCTATAGCTTAATAAACATAATAAAAAGTGTTTAAGTTCGACTAAAGAGTTTTGTACTTCACGTCTCTTTTCAAGTACAATAGAGCTAGAACTTGATAAACATATAGCCCCTGTTTGACACTCATTTTTGACAAAAAATAAATTCTGGAATAATGATTAATGGAAGAATGTGTGGTTAAAAAGTAATGAAAATTTTTGGATTTATGTGTAGTATTATTTTATTGATACAATGTGTGGTTGAAATGAAGAAAGAGAAAAAAAAAATGAGAATGAGAAAAAATGGGTGTCAATAGGGGCATAATTAAAATTTATTATTTTTTTAGTTTGACTAATGAGGTTCGTACTTCATTGAAGAGTTAGAGCTTTATAACCATAATAAAAATTAATCTCTTTTCAAATACGACAAAGCTAGAGCTTGATAATTGTGGGCTTATTGGGCTTCTT